CTTTTTGGTGAGTGGATGAGTGGAAGAGGAACCTACAAAATCCACACTCTCCTCTCCTATGGCTTTCTGAGTGGGAAAGGGCCTAATGCCAAAGTCATAGAGAGCATACTTTTATGCTTGCATCAACCCAATGGTCCTTAAAAAAGCCAATTTCGAGAACGCCTAAGTTTCAGGCTTTTGTCGGTTCGAATGAATCATTTCAGACGCTGACTGATATCAGGGTTGATACAGCCTTTACCACAATTTTAGAAGTTTAGTCTCTTGTCCTTATAACTTTAAAGTTTTCCTCGAGATCGTAACATAGCTCTTAATCGAGATAAATAAATAAATGGTGAATAATCTTTCTTCTTCCAGCTTACATCCAGCCCTGCCGCCTGCAGAACTCGCAGCAGAAGAACCTGGACTACACTGGAGTTAGATTCACAGTCAGCGGCTACGGACGCACTGACGACCTGTGGAACGGTAACAAATGTTCTAACGTACATAATAGGTAATTAATAGGGATACACAGACACTCACTGAAATACCAGTGCTACCAATAGTCAGCCGATTGACAGCAATACTATGCCGCCCCTAGAAGCCCCCAATACAAAGTAACATTTGTGACGGATTCAATTTCGCAATCGTTTCTCAGAACAAAGCAGTTACCTACTTACGAAAAAAGGGAGCGAAGACTTGAGTTAAAACTGTCACCATACCAACACAGGGTTGACTGGTTAGTTGTCTGTATATTTTTACTGTCGGTCAAGCTGTAGATCCTGGCTACACAGAAGTGGCAGCAGCGGGAACGAGAGGTGGGAATAGTCCCTTTTACCCTACCATTTCTTGCCCACAGGTGGAGCCGCCTCCGAGATCCTATTGTGGGTGCACCTTCGCGGCATCACCAACGAGGAGTGCCGCCGCTGGTACGGAGGCAGCCCCATTGTTCAGGACCAGACCATCTGTGCTGAGTACTACAATAATACCGCACAGTCTTCTTGCCAGGTAACCATGTAGTCTAGTGGTAAGACCATCAATTCCCAAGGACAAAATTGTCTCGGTTTGGTTGTTTAAGTCCTGGCTGCCTACAACCATCTTAACTAAGTCTGTTGCCATTACAAAAATGTTGACAGAATTGATACTACTAACCCATTGATCAACTGTAGTCCGATTAATAAAATATTTTAATTTGAATTTGTTTCGGCAGTTAGACGTAAGATAGCCAGTTCGGTACGGTCCTATACGGTAAGAGAACTGTACTGTACATCAGACATTATTGAAGGAAATATTACAAAACAAGAGCCCACAGTTTTTGCTTGCACAGCTTGACGTCCATCGTACGTAAGCTTGCAAAAAATCTCATAAAGCCAAAAGCATAGCAGTCTTCGGTATCTACATATACAGGGTGTCCCGTAATGTAA